GCTTCTAAATGCTTACGGATCTTGTCCTTGAGAATCTTTTACAATAATTTCCCGACCACCGACGTGAGACACTCAGGCCTGTAATTTCCAGGATTACCCCTACTACCCTTCTTAAACAATGGGATGATATTGGCTATTTTCCAATCCTCTGGGACCTCACCTGTGGCTAAAGAGGGTACAAGGATGTCTAGCGATGATTTTGGAATCTCAACAATTAGTACAATGGCAGAAACACTACTTTTGGGGATTCAGATATGCTTACTACCATTAATCCAATAAGAGCTTTGATGGGATTAAGAGGGGATGAGCCTGTTACGCTGGCAGATCTTGTGAATGTCTACTGACGATCCTTTGATAACCACTGCAACATCCTATGCTCCATTTTGACATCATCCCAAATATCTGCAAGCCTACATCCTTCAATGTTTAGCTTGGATGATAGCAGCTACAAGGCATATTTCCAGCAGAACTAAGAACACAAGAAATAGGAGCAAAGTAGGCCATTTGGCCCATCATGTCTGGTCTGCCATTTGCCCATGACTGAAATGTTTTTCAACCCAATTGCCCTGCCTTCTCCCTGTAACGCTTGATCCCCCTCATGAATCAAGAACCTTTCTATCACTGTAAGGTTTTTGATTCATTGTCCTTGCAAGTACGTAATTTCCTTTCTGAAGGTGAAAGAGAATGACTGGAAAGAATTTATTGAGATGTTGGGAAATATCAAGCTGTTTCAACTGTACCAGAGTGTGTCTCCTCTCTTGCATATAATCATAAATTTCCATATCATGTGTGGGATGCATGTTCAAGGTGTTCAAGTACCAAGTGTGTCATCCTGGGTTAATGAGTTTGAGGAAGAAGTGAGAATAATGATAATTGAATAACATTTACCAAAACAGAGGGTTTGATGACTGACTATGCCAATTACCTTCAGTTTACTGCCTCTGGCAGAAAGACTGTCATTGACAGATTCTGTGATCATATGTGACAAAGACACAAATGATTTGCATCACACTCACGTTGCTGCTTTATGGCAGACTGTATAACAACTTGAAGCACACAGGCAGTGCAACTTCTCAGCCGTTCCTTTACACTATCAGAGAGGTCTCAGACAACAGCTCGTGGGAGAACCTGGACCAGCCGTTATCTCAGGATGGGCTGACCAAGGCCCTCGAGTACTCAGAAAAGAACAAAACTCCCAGAAGCAACTGCTTACTGGTCGAGTTATATTCGGCTCTGTGGGACTTGATTGGCCAGGCCCTGCTGGAGGTGTATGACAGTATACTTCTGGCAGGTAGCATATGTGAGCTATGAAGAAAGGTATCATTACCCTCATCTACAAGTGGAAGGGGGGAGAGGGAGGAAACTGGAAATTGGCAACTAATTTCACTGCTAAATGCAGACTACAAAAATTCTGCCTAAGGTCATTGCCAACTGGATCTTTCACCTCAACCAAAACTGTGCTGTACCAGGCAGGACATTCTCTGAAAACCTTGTCCTCCTCGGGGATACAATCACCAATGTGCAGGACAAGGGGCTGGATACTTGCCTCATCAGCCTGGACCAGGAGAAGGCCTTTGACAGGATATTGCACACCAGCATATGGGATGCACTGTTCAAAATGGGCTTTGGGGAGGTATTCTGTAATTGGCTATGACTACTCGACATCAACATCATTGGTGCAGTTTCAATCAATGGGTGGGAATTAGAAAGCTTCCTGATCAGATGTGGAGTCAGGCAGGGCTGCCTATTCTTTCCTGCCCTGTTTGTGTTCTGTATAGAACCTCTCGCTGAGTCCTTCAGGAAGAATGCGAGTCTGAGAGGCCTGACTGTTCCAAGCAGGGGGGATGTTTGTACATGGATGATGTTGGCATTTTCTGCTCGCATCCGCTGTCAATGCACAGTCACCAGCAGCTGTGACCAGTTTGAACTGGCCTCGGGAGCCAAGGAAAATTGAGGCAAGAGTGAATTTATAGAATTTTAGAATTTTATAGAATCCCTACAGTGTGGAAACAGGCCGTTCGGCCCAACAAGTCCACACTGAGCCTCAGAGCATCCCACCCAGACCCAAACCCCTAATCTTCACACCCCTGAACACTATGGGCAATTTACCATGTCCAGTCCACCTAACCTGCACATCTTTGGACTGTGGGAGGAAACCAGAGCACCTGGAGGAAACCCACGCAGATACAGAGAGAATATGCAAACTTCACACAGACAGTCGCCCGAGGCTGGAATCGAACCCGGGTCCCTGGCGCTGTGAGGCAGCAGTGCCACTGAGCCTCCATGCCGCCCCATGAGGCCATGTTCTTTGGGAACTGGACGGACTACTCCTTTATCCCTTTCACCGGCAGGACAAATTTCCTGAAGGCACTGGGAATATGGTTTGGAGGGGCTGGGGTGTGTGCAAAATCTCAGAAGGAGGGCATCACCAAGGTGAGGCAGAAACTGGTCGTTTAGGAGCACCACTCCTTCTCCATTGTGGGTAAAAACCTGGTTATCAGATGTGAGGCACTCTATTGTTGTACATTGCACTGGTTCGGACCATTCCCAGAATCTGTGCCGCTGCAGTCACCTGAACCATCTTCCATTCCAAATGAAGATCTAAGATGGAACGTGTCCACAGGGACACCACGTATAAAATTTTGGATAAGGGGAGGAAGAACGTACCCGATGCCTCCCTCATCCTGATGGCCACCTTTGTGTGTGGCTGCATCAAGCTGTGCACTGACCCTTGGTACGCAAACACTAAGAGTCACTTCATACTGAGATTCTATTGAGGTGTTGCGAAGGATGGGTGTAGCCTTGTTGCTGTGGAATACTCCAAGCAGTTGGACCGTTTCATATCACCTGTCCTTAGTGGAGACATTGCAAAGAAACATACCGATGACCACAAGTCCATCAAGAAGTTGCAGCACACAGCATCATTGACACCCTGCAGGAAAAGGAGAGGGTAGATCCTGTCGGGTTGTTCCCTGAGCAAAGGCCGTCAAAGTCATTTGGCAAAATGCCTCATCGCCGGCACTTTCCAGCAAGCACTAAGACATTGTTTGACTGGTGGTGAGAAGGGCACTACCTGGGAGATTCTTCATGCACACTTGGACTCTCCATGCCACTACACGCTGCTCTCGAAGCGGGCGGTGGTGGGGATGTCTTGGATCACAGAGTGCATTCGGATTCGGTTACATGTAGTTAAGGTTCGACAACAGCAGTTTGTTTAAATATGAACATTTAATTGAGTAATATTAAAAGAAAGGAACATTTATTAAGTAAATAAAAAAATGAAAAAAAAAAAAGCCTCACGCCTTCTGACCAGCAGGAACCCCTCGACAACGGCTGCTCTCTGGAGGCTGAGGTTGTTCCTGGCACCATTCGCGATCCCGGTTCGAGGTGCAGTCCAGCAACTTGGAAAGAAACTCTGTCTCTTGTACAGTGTATCAAACAGCCAGCACAGAGAACAGCAAATACAAAAGACAACACTACCAGCTAGTGCAGAAAACACACAGCTACAGAAAAACAAGCTGCAGGTGTCGTCTTCAGCCCATAAAGGAACGTTCACAGGACTCTTTCAAGGTCATGCAGCTTGTCGAGCATCATCATTAACTTTCCCAGCTAATTTTCCCATCCTATACAATCTATTTTCTCATGCGGCTGTCAAATATCATCATTAACTTCTAGCCCTTCGGCCCATCCTATACGGTGGGGGTGGGGGGTGCGTGTAGAGACTGTCACACGTCTCCTGCTGGAACATGCCTTTGCAAGGGAAGTCTGGAAAAAGATGCAGTGGTTTTTGTCGAGGTTTGTCCTGAACAGCTCCATGATGCAGGACTGTATGGTCTGTTCCTTGGCATGCATGCCAGGACAAATATTGTCTGGACCTGGAGGACTGTCAACTCAATGAAAGATTGTCTTCGGTCTGCCCAAAACTTGTTGGCCTTCCAGAGCAAGGAATTGACCTCAACCAAGTTTGGCAGACTGGCACACTCCAAGGTCCGGGACTATGTGCTGAGGGATGCACTAAAGCGTGGGGCAGCTGCTGCCAAGGTGCAGTGGGGAAAGACCACCGTCTAAGATCTTTCTGCTGAAGTTAAATGGGGCCTGTTCAGTTATCGAACCTCCTGATGCCTCAAATATATGCAAATAAAACCTTGTATAAGTAAGAAATGCTTTTGATTTGTGTGCTGGATAGAGTCAAACTCCAACATTTGTTTGTTTCTTCGGGTGTTACTCTACAAAACAACTGTTTTAGTGACTATTTATATAAAGATAATTTTATGAATAAACGATATTTTTGATATTAAAAAAACTGTGTCAAAGAAGCACAAATCTTTTGTGTTACTCCCCTATGAAATTAACAAATTTGTGTGATGACATGTCTGAAATGGCAAACTGAACAGAGAGTATAAGTAGATGACCAACAGCCAAGTATAGAAGATCCCTTCACAAACACAGTGGAATAGAGGAAAGATTTACCAGACACATACTCAGATCATGATCAGTACC